TCTGTCCTTCCTGCTGTGTGTGCAGTGCTTCCCCTTGGGAAGAGCAGCGCTCAGCGCAGCCTTCAGCACAACAGGGCTGAGCTGGCTGCTCCAGGAGGCTCCTGTGCGTCCCGGAGACACGAAGTACCCCCGCCTGCAGCATCCACCTACCAGGAATTAGCTGGGGGGAGAGCACTCCTCAAACCTGCCAGGAAGGACAGGTCTTCAGTTATTTTAATAAAATTATATTGACTTGGTCACATCTTGGATTCTTTATCGTATTTGCGAAATGGCAAACCTGTAAAAATTTAGACTAGAAAAAATGCATCCTGTCTGCAGAGTTTTGTCATAGGGAAGGGTAGAAATCCGTGCTTTCTCTGTCCTGCCTCAGCTGCGGGTGTCTGTTAACTTTTCTCCAAAGTTACTAACAACTTTTTATTCGCTTGGGATTCTTTTTCAGAGACCAAGTTACAATGCTGATTAATAAATAAGTAAAAAACTCGATTTAACTAAGAGCTTCCTAGAGATAACTTAAGTCTCTTAATAAGGTTGGGTTGTTTTTTCCTCCTTATCTCTGCAGAGTTTTCAGCAGCTTTTCTCCTGTTGAGCTCAGAGTGAGTACAACTGCTCTTGCTTATCAGCACGCCTTGAGGACCGGGGCCAGTATTGTTATCAGTGGGGCACCAACCTTATATAAACTATATCATATAGGTGTGTTTTGGCAAGGCTAGTGGGGAGAGAGACTTTAAATGCTTTTGAGAAAACATGCAGCATTAAGACTTCCTCTGTGTTCCAGGAAATCACAGAGGAACTTCCTCATGTTCCAGGAAATCTTTATCCCATTTCCTGTGTGCTTTTCTGGCAAAGAATGTTATTTGTGTGTGCTAAAACCTACACTTTCCAAACAAATTAGATGAGACTCATGATTTCTTTTCTGTTCTTCCCAGACCAAATTGCCAAAGTAGATAAGCTTATGCTTCTCTCAAAATCGTGGAAGGTAATATTATAATTAATACTATTTTTTGATTTAAGACATAGATTGGAAAAGCTTTTGCATAAGGGATCCTTATCTCTTCCTAAAATAGTTCCGTCTTGTGGTCAGATCTTTTCGGTCAATTTTCTTTTAATTCTGCCTGTTGCATTTTCATTTGAGAATGACTGATCCTGTAGAGTTTCTCTGCCTGTTCAATTTTTGCATCACACCAGCCTCAGTTTCCCCGGAGTTTTGCTTCTCTGAGGCCAGATTTTGTGGTATTGGTCTTTACTCAGAGACAGATCCCTGTGAAAGCCAGTTGTCTGGAATCTAAGAAGGCAGAATTAGCTTTGGTATGTAGGTGGGGGGTGGGACAGAAAATCAGAAGGTTTATTTAAATAGAAATCAATGACCCTGTATCAGTCTTGTTCTTTGTACAAAAACTTCACTTGTGTGCTGCATGATCGGTCTTTTAAAAGATAAATATAACAGCTAAGGCTTGTTCAGGTTTTTCTCTACTTTGTCTGGGTTAAATTAGAGGACAGGCTGTATACATTCTTCTAAGGTCTTAAATTATCACAAGTTGCCTGAAGACGTTTATTGTGCTTGCTCACAAGTATCGGAGCTGATGTCATCACTTGCTGCCCCTGGAAAGGAGAGATCTTGTTGTCTCCTTCTTTGGTCTTTGCTCTCTTCTCCTCCACTCTGACATCTGGTCCTGCCTCTGCTGGACACTCTCTGACAGCTAAGAAACCTCTGTGATCAGTTCAACTCGATAATCAAGAAAAAAACCTTTTCCATCAGAACTGAGGTTGGAAGTAGGTTGCATTTTATTGGAGAAAGCAATGGAATGGAAAACAAATAACCACCTTCCTCGTATTGGTGGAAGCGTTGGTCCTGGGTCGCTTAAATCTGGCCCGTTTCCCAGCTCTTTCCAGGAACGAATCCGGGAAGGAAGACTCTTAGTCATTGAAAAAACACAAGAGTAAGGTTAATACTCTGTGTATAAATAGGGACTTAATGTCTGGACAGTTTTGAAATTCTGTGTTAGAGTTTTTATTGTTGTTCTGTTTTCCTGTTTTACTCTTTTTTTTTTCTCATTGCCAAGGCCAGTTGTTTTTCAAGTCCACGCAAGTAGTGACACTCTCTCCTGAAAGGGAAGTCCTTTGTATTTCTCCTGTCTCTTACAGGTAATCATTGCATGGCTGTCTGTAGCCCCTGTGATAAGCTTTTTAGAGCCTGTAAGACTGCTTGTTTGGGGAAATTTTGTTTATAATGGCTTGGCTTCAAGATGAGTAGAAGGCTACATATGCAAGAATCACCTGATTAATTTTCTTCTTTCTGCCCAAGACACAAGCACAGCTCTGGCAGTCCTGAAAACAGGAGGAAAACTTGCCCAGGTAGAGCACAAGTGCTTTAAAACACATTGGCAATGAAGTGCAGCAGGGTTTAGGAGACCAAAAACACTAACTTAGATAATCTTTACAAGTTTTGTTAGAAAGAAAATGAAGTAATGATGTCAGGTGTAGTCAGTGACTGCAGGGAGAGAATACATTAATAAGAAGATCTCTCCCAAACAGCCCTTTTCCAAAAAAAAAAAAAAAAAAAACACCCCTCAACTTATAATATATTAATACAAGTAATATTTTTTTTTCTAGGTAACAGACGATGGTGTTATAGCACTAGTGAGTGGAACATGTTCAAAGAATTTAAAGGTAACTTATCTAGCCAATACAAAGAAATGCAAAAATCACATATTTCATTTTTAATTATTATTTCTAAGGAATATTTTTTATTCAGGTAAGCCTTTATATTTGTGTACAAGTCTGTCCTCAGTTTGGTCATGAATTGAATTTTTCATATTTATCATAAATTTAACTAACAGTGTGAATATCCTCCATTTATCTAGTGGAATGATTTACACCTACTAGGGCTTGAGAGCTCCTTTTATCAGTTGTTTTATCTCTCTTTAGCTTCTGCTCAACTTATATGGGGATCATTTAAAAAGTGGGCAAGTGTACGGTGTGTGCAAATGAAGCTTTATAAAAACAGACTTTCTTTTCCCTTGCCATACAATGTTAGAATGTTAAAATCTTGGCTTTGGTTTTAAAAGAACTAGTAGAAAATATCAACCATGTCACTTGCTTGATTGACTTCCTTGTCTGCAAGACTGTGGTAATTCTGGCCTGAATCTTAAACTTCAGGATGCTTCAGGAAGCTAGAAGTTGCATAGAGGGCAATAAATTGAATAGAGTATGGATGAACTAAAAACTATACATGCATCAGGCTTTTGCACTTCCTGGACTTCCTGAGAATACAGTTCTTGTTTTCTGTGTCGTCACGCAGGATTCTACATTTATTACAAAAGGTCCCTTTTGCTCATGTGCTTGGTGCTCATCATTTGACAGGACATTCCATCCCAATAAAACAATTCCTATTCCTTTATCTGGCCCTCTCAAAATATATTTTCACAGATCTCATGTTCTATTAACTTTGCCATTCTCTTGCTGCATTTTTGGTATGTTACATATATTGATATAGGAACCAGTTTAGAATTAGGAGGTGCCCATTCAGTACATATATATGTGTATGTACGCGTGTGTGCGTATATATACATGCATATATATATATATGCACATATATACTTATATATAAAAATCTGTTTACAGATGCACACTGGCAGGGAGACTATTCAGAGTCTAGTACTGTGTGGTGCTGGAAACAAACATTTTCTCCCTCCTTCCTATCCATAAATGAGAGATAATAATCCTTCCTTTTTTCAGTCCTTTGTTTTTTCTTGGATTGAAACAGCTGATTGAGGTAAAGAGTCCTAGGTGGTGGTTTTTTGTTTTAAATATGGGTAAAAGTTTGTCCTCCCAAATCACATGTGTCTACATGTAAATTTCTGTTTGAAAGTTGGAATGTTCTTCTATGAACGTTATATTGAAATAAACATGAATTTTCTGCAGACAAAAGTAGCCACTCTAGGAATTACGTCTGCATGTAAATCTTCAAGTCATTATCTATTTTGAGAAACACATCTGATCAGCAGAGGAAGGACTATAGTATTAGAGTGTACAAATACTTAAATCTTTAGATTTCAGTTGCATTCTGTCCTCTGGTTCAAACAATTACTTAGGAGAATGTGCAACATGGGGAAAAATGATAGGACTCAAATTCTATAAAATGTCTTTGAAGAGTTTTTTTCACTTGTTTTTGATGTTTGTTTCTAGCTTTTTGGTGCTTACTTCTAGCTCAGGAAATTTATATTTTCAGAGTTGATTCTTCATAAAGAAAGCTATATTATTTTTCCTGAAGGTATCTGTACAGGAACACCAGGGGGAACAGTGCTCTGGGGAGTAGTAGATCATAATTTCTTCTGGGGAAGAAGAGAATAATAATAACAATTGTTGGGAAAAGGAAGCAATATCTCCAAACTGTGCACATGCTCACAGGCTTTTGTTTTTACTGTTTTTTGTAACAGGAGATCCACATGGAACAGTGTGTGAACCTGACTGATGTCGCAGTGGAAGCAGTCCTAACCTGTTGCCCAGAGATATACATTTTTCTGTTCCATGGATGCCCGTTGATAACAGGTGAGTCAAATCACTTCTGACCTCATCTTTTTGCTCTCTGAAAAAGAAAACAAGTTTTGTTTTGTAAATGCTCCCAAACAAATAATAAATGATTAGATTATGTTATCATTATACATTGAGATTTTTCAAAGCAAGGTGAGAAATTTGGCTTGAAGCCTGACAACCTTCAAAGTGTTTTTGTTTTTCTCTCTCAAAATGTTGATGCAGATCAAAAATTGTTCAGGAGACTTCAAGAGGAGATATAAGCATATTTGTCACCTACTGTCTTTCAAAAGTATAGAACAGGTTCCATTCAAGAAATAGTATAATAGACTAGGACTAATCAACCTGAAATAAACCAACTTCCAAGAGTTTATGGTAGATATCTAAAAAACATGAGTGGTATGGTGGAAAGGATACTACATGGTATTTCTTTCCATAAAAGAATGAGGAATATGAAGATTAGCAGGAACCAGATTTAGAAAAAGGAAGAACTCTTCATGTAGCAGCTGACAAACCTGTGGAACTCATTGCTGAGTGGTGTCCATGCTGTACAGCAGCTCATAGGCTGTGCCAGTATTTGGAAGATAATTTTTGGAAGGTTTAATACATGGAAACAATAACCAGCTTAGGACATTTCTCTCAGGTGAAAGAAACTGAAGAATGAAAGAGATCTGGGGAAGGTGTCTTGCATGTTCTGTTCTTGCTCTTCCCAGGGCACCTTCTCACAATCCTTGTTCTTACTGTTCATTCGCTTAGCCAAAGGGAAGGCCATTCTTGATCCAATGTCCCAAAGAAGGCAGCTGAAAAGAGAAACAGAAGTGTTTGGGAGAAAATGAGTGGAAAAGGAAAGAAAAAAAGAGGAGGAGGGTGGGAGTCACTCAAAATATAAAAGAAGTGTCATCAAGGCCCATGGACATTGACTTGAGCACAAGCAATGGTCACAAAGGCCATGCTGACCATTCATTTATTAAGCAGATAAAACAGTAAAACAGTAAAGATGGTAAAAATAAAACAGTAGTTGAGAGTATAGTGTTCTAATGTCATAGCAGTAGAAATAGTCAGGAGGAAGCAGATGTTTCCATTACTTCACTGTTTTAGCGCAGCGCCTCATTGCTCGCATCGTCAGGCTGAGTGTTAGCACCAGGCCTTCATCACACATATCCCAAAGAGTGCTGCTGCCAGTGGTTACCTGGTAGGTAGCCCCACATTTCCCTTTCAGTGAAACACAAACTTAGGCCTGACTAGTATACAGAAATGAAGCCCACAAAACTGTTGAGAAAAAATCCTTCGCTCACGACTGCTTAAACCTGAACTAGAGCAGACAAAACCAACCACCAGGACCCCCCTTCTCCTAGTGAAGAAGACCCCACCTAGCCAGTAATGAGGATGTCTCTGCATTGGCACTAAGATAGGCCAGTTGACTATACAGATGATTATAGACTGGAGATGGCTTTACGTATGGCAGTTCTTGATGAGCTCCTTAGCTGAAGGCCACAGGCTGAGTCAGGATCTGCTCAAGCTGCAGTTTGGTACCTCCCTGGAGGGATCCCACCGAGCACGTGCCAAAGCCACGTGCCCATAGGAGACTGGCGAAGTGTCTATGGTGCCTGCCCCTTTCTGAGGGCAGGAAGGGAAATGACTGACCGCCTCCTGCTAGAAGTCTCTGGCCAGATAAAAAGTTATCTAAGAGGCCCAGAAACTTATGCAGAGACACTGGGTCAGATGTGGCTGTTGTGGTCAGGGAACGGTTTTCCGTTGGCCTTTCTCCCATACTGTGATATCGCATATCACTGTGATCCTGGGGTCTGGAGGGGGAGATGTGGAGAGAGGTAGTTTTTTGGAGAGCCCCAGTCCCTCAGGCAAGAGAGAGCAGCTTGCAGGTAGATGTGAAAGGGACCAGGAAGAGGCTGAGGGAGCGGAACGCACAGGAACTGTGTGCGGGAATGGGCGCAAACGGCACAAGAAGGGTGGGAAAGCACCTATGTGCCTCTTCCTTGGCTTCCTCCCACTTTTTTTTTTTTTTCCTCCTCTATTTTCCTAAACTAAGGGGAAGGAGGGTAGGAGCTGGGAAGGGACTTCTGCTCCCTCAGGACAGCTGTCGGCGGGGCTGCAGTTACGTGTCGGGCAGGCCGGGGCAGAAGGAGCAGGGAAGGTGCTGCTCACCTGGCGGCGCTGGCTGTTGCAGCGGCTGCTGTCCCTTCCGCAGGGTCCGTCAGCGCTGTGCGACGCGCCAGCCTGCGCCGGGGCTGGGCTCCTTGTCTGGGCTTTGCGCAGGGGTGGCTGCTGGGTGCAGCTCCCCCCAGCTCGTGCCCCAAGCAGCTCGCTGTGCCCAGTTTGTACAGCTCCTGACAATATAGCCTCTTCTGGCTCGCAAGGTTTCTTGAGCGGGTGGGCATGCTGCCCTGGCTGGAATTACCTTTCCCTTCCTTTCCTCCCACCTGGTTGGTGTTTCCAACATTTACAGCTGGTTCCTCAAGGTTCGCTGAATATGGCAGATGCTCCCTTCCTTGGTGTTACTGTTTGTGACAGACAGTTCCTGTTTCAAGGTTCCTCGTGGCATTTTAATGGTGTAGTTTCCTCGTGACTTCCTGGCATGTGGTTTCCAGAACTTTCAGGGTCTTGAGACATCGTGACCACAGAGCCCTTGGGGCTTGAGCTCGTGACGGCTGCAGTCAGGTGGGCAAGGGGAGGCCTCCATGGAGATGGTCCTTCTTACTCTTCTTTTTCTTCTCTTCCTTCTGAAGAAGCTGGAGCTGGAGAGGCAGAGAGAGAGCTTGCGTGCAGGAGCTGGTCCACAGGCAGAGCCCCCCTTCTCTCCCTACTGGCTCTTTTTGGATATCCAGGAGGATGGACTCTGATTGCTTTTATGCACCGTATAAAAGTGGTACCATATTTGAAGGGATTTACAACCTAGTGAACCTGTCCCTCTGCTCCAAACTACGCTTGTATTTTTATGTCACTAACACAGTGACATTAGCAGTATCATTAGCGGATACACAGTATCATTAGCAGAGACTGACTGACTGGATCCACAAGCAGATCTGCTTTCCCTGACTGTTCTGACTCCACCATCTCTTTTATTCACAGTTTTTCAAATCCATGGTATACCTGCTCATTTTGCTTGTTTGACAATTGGTGTTATAGATATTGATAAATACATTCATTATACGAAACTGGATTTTTGATTTTTGCATCCATGTGAACTACAGGAAAGTCCAAGGAAATCAGAGGAGAAAACAGGCTACCAATGTTATATACTGCCATGCATGCTCAAGAGAACAGAATTACACCTGCATTGGAAACCATAACATGGTCTTTTCTGAGCCCTATGTGGTTAAAATGTTCTTTTTGTTTGTTTCTTCAAAATGTTTCAATAAATGCATGGCCATTGCATTCGTGCCTTAAAAACAATTTCAGCTATATCTCAAGTGTGACCTTCTAATGGCAAGCTAAGCATAAATGCAAATATAACTGAAATCTTTTGTAGTTTGCCTAATTTCTGTATACCACCTGTATACATATATATGTGTGTGTGTATACATTCTGAATAAGTAATAAGAAATTCCTTGTTTCTTCTGCAGATCGTTCCCGAGATATTCTAGAGCAGCTGCTCGTATCAAACAAAATCAAGCAAGTGACATGGACTGTTTACTGATTCCTTTTTATGTGCACATATGAGTGTGAGGTTTACAGAGCAGAGGGTCTCTTCAGAAAACGGCCACCTCTGGAGAAGAGCTGCCTGGCTGGTGACGTGTGTGTGGCCGATGGCTTCTCTCCTTGCTGCCCACCAGAGGTCCCTGTCGCCATCCCAGTGAGTCAGGATTTAGTAGTGTCCCTGCGTAGAGCCTCCTCCTTCCTTCCATTGCTGCCCGTGTTGCATTAGGAGTAAAGTTAAATCATACTTACTAGTGCTGTATCATCTCCCAGGCCCCTTGAAGCATCAGAGTAGGCTACAACTTAACATCTTGCTCATAGCTACCTATACAAGACTACCTGAAGTAAATCCTTGTGGTTTCTTTTCTTTTAGTTATTATTTACCATCAAATACTTACTGGATTTTTACAATTATAGAAGTATAGTCTGAGCATAAAAATGTAACTACAATAACTTCAATAAATTTTTACTTAAGGAATTTCAGAATAGTACTGATGGCCAAAAACAGAATTCTGCCTATTGGCAGATACTCATTTGCCTTGGCTTTTGCCTGTATTTCCATGTAGAAATCCTCAACGGGAACATAGTGTTGCTCCTCACAAACATAGCTGAAACAGGACCAGAGAAGGGCGTTGAGCACCTGAATCTCAGCACTGTACAGTTCAGCATTTTAGATGTATGCAGTTCATTACATCTGCAGTAGCCTACAGAAATTGAAAATATATCTGGTTAGGTATTGTTCATTTGTAGTCATGTTTAAAAGCAAGGTTCAGTTTTTGAAGTGTAGACAAGTTTATTACATGCTGGAACAAGGGTTTCATCACAACTTAAGTCATACTCAATGGGTCTGTTGAAGCAAGAAACACGAGGTGGGTTTTATATGATTTCTACATGAGGCTTAAAAATATTGGTCATTTTAATGCTGCCCAGGGCAGGGGGTAGCTCGCTGTTAATACTCTGCATGTGGAACTAGCAGGACTAGGGAGGTCTTACACGAATCTGGTGACAATTTGAAACCTGCTGAGTTTAGGCAAGCATTGGGAATGTGCTAACTTTATAACCCAGCACTGTCACAGGTCCCACTCACATTAGGTGTCACAGAAATAAGTGTTCTCATCTATTTAAAGTTCATGTCCAACTGCTTGGAAGATAGTAATATAGATATATATATAAAGAACATATATTACTATATGTGTGCCGCATCCCATAATACTAAAAGATATTATGAAGTCTGACAACAGTCCCCGTTCTTCTCCAGTTTTATGAGTTAGGGAGGAACAACTTCTATTTACTGCAAGTTGTGCATGGTCATTTTCAAACTCAGTTGCCCGATGTCCTTTCTGTGGGCTCGTGCAGTGCTGTGGCTGGGCACAGAGGGGGCTGTGTTCCCAGGAAAGCTCTAGGTACAACCGGGCACCAGTGCAGATGCCTCCTGCAGGCAGAGGCACTTGCTTTGGCTGTATTATTATTGCACATAGTAACTAGCACCTAAAAGCTCTAATTGCAGCAAATTGTTGGACCAGGTAAAGGCCTACGAACCTAAATGTTATGCTTAGTTTTAGTCTCCCTTCTTCCTCCCCTTTTTTTTGGGGGGGTGGTGGTCAGGCTAAATTTGCACGGTTGCCATATTGGTGCTTATAGGGCAATACTGACATGCTCAGGAAAAGTGTCTAACTTCATAGTGTTATCTTCACCTTGTCTTTAAAAGCCTATACAACATTGAGAGGAATGATAAGGTTTGGAAGATCAGCATTTATCACATTAAATCCTTCATTTCCAGAGATTGAGTCTGCTCTCTCATTAGCATAACTCCACTGGATTTTGTTGTTATTGGTTTTTGATTCAGGCTAAATCAGTCATTTTCAGCAAAAGTTTACAAGCTTTTTTGGAAGTGGCAGAACATCACGTATACCTTTTTCGCTTTGTATTCTATATTGTATTTGTATATTGTTACCTTTGTAAATTGTTGGGTGAGAATATTCATGCATTGTTCTGAAGATTAAATTTTGTCTGGCTCGTTTGGGTAGTTTGAAAAGCTCATTAAATGTTATGTTTGTGGCCATATCATCTACCACCTCACAAATACTGTGGTTTTCTGAATGGCTGTCACAACTCTTTCACATCTTTAAGCTTTTATATCACTTGGTATTTGGGTAGTGGTAGGTACAGTGTGCTTCATCGTTCAGTTCTTAGTCAATATTATTCAGTTATTATTTCTGCTTGTTCAGTAATTTACTGTTCTGAAAACTTAGGTTTCTTTATTGAGTTGATGCATGCACAGACTCTTACCTGTGGATCAAGGGTTTTTTATATGCTGCAGATGATTCTTTCTTCAGAGTTGTAGGTTTGGATGATTCTGGAGATTCAGTAGTTCAGCAGTTCTGGAGTTCAGTAACTCCTCAGGAGGAGAAGAGAGATTTTTTCTAATTTTTCTCTCATTCCCTGTTCAAAAGCATCATGAAACGAAAGCTTTCTTCGTCCTGCACCAGCTCCCCAGTGTGATAGGCTGCCATTTTTCCCTGCAAAGTTAGGGAGTGCAGATCA